TCCTGAGTTGTCTCCGGATCCCCCGCGACATTACAGAAAATGCATAGATGGATGATGATTGTATTCCTGTGGGGCTCATTCCGCAGCTCAATATCATTCAGCTTGCCAAACTGTCCCCCCACTGTACCCTATGATGGTCTGGCCCCTCAGCCGTGGTGTCCCCCATGCTGTACCCTGACATGGTCCAGCCACTCATCCAGGGTGTCCCCTTTGCTATACCCTGCCATGGTCTGGCCTCCCATCTGGGGTGTCCCCCATGCTGTACCCTGTGATGGTCTGGCCCCCCACCCGAGGTGTCCACTGCATTGTACCCAGGGACGGTCTGGCCCCCTGTGCAGGGTGTTGCTGAATGTGGTTATTAGCCAGATGCTGCATTTGCCAGGCATCCAGAGAGCGCCGTGATCGAACCTGACCACTGGTGGGCTTCTCTGAGGCCCTCCCTGTTTTACACGTCCCTGTGGAGCTGGCCTGTAATTGGACGTGGCGAGCCAGCATGGGCTTGTGTTTTTCCCACGTGGGAAAGAGACTCCTTAGCGTAATGTCTTCGGCAGAACTGACAAGGGGCAGATTTATGCCGCTGCGTGGGCTGGAAGGACCTAAAAGAGCCTTTTGGTCAAATTCCAGTGCTTTGAATGGAGGGCCCAGAAAGCCCATTAGGTCACTGAGCAGCACTGAACTGGAGAAAGTCTCTCATTATGTATGAAATGCAGGAACGGCCCATCTGGCACCTCTACACTTAAGTCTGGCGATTTCTGCAGCGAGTCGCTGGCTGTTAATGTTCTAAGCAGGCGTTAGAGGCTGAAATGTAGCCTTCTTTCGGGTTCTAGGGAAGCGTTCCTGCTTTTCCATGTATGTTTTACTGTCTTCCAACTGAAGCACTCACTAGCTGCGTGCAATAAAATGCACACCAAGGGCCGTCTAGGGGTGGAGCACGTACACTTCTCACGTTAGGTATTTGTTTTTTGGTTTCCCTGGAAATTACAGGACTGAGGGACTAGTCCTATGTAAGGACTAGACAGGAGTCATAAGTGCTGGGGAGTCTGGCTGTGTACAGCACCTGACATTCCCGTGAATTTATGAAGGCCGCTCAGCAGCCCCCGAATGTGCCCAAATGCGTCATCCAGGTGTCCTTGGATTGATCTAGAATGTGACCATTTTTGTCTCAAAACGATATTATTGACTTATTGCTTTATGGATTCAACATTTCATTGTTCAATAAGTTATCATCTTTATCTGTCCACAAAGCCGGGGGGGGGGGGGGGGGGAGGCTGCACATTAATGCTTAGTAAACTGGACAAACTGCATTTTTGTCATACAGGTGTTTTCAGCCCCTTACCTTCAATATGCAATATGCAATTTAGAGCATGGTACATTGACTGGAGCATAGTATACAAACTGGCATTGCGCACTGACTGGAGGATAGTATACAGACTGGCATTGCACATTGACTGGAGGATAGTATACAGACTGGCATTGCACATTGACTGGGGGATAGTATACAAACTGGCATTGCGCACTGACTGGAGGATAGTATACAGACTGGCATTGCACATTGACTGGAGGATAGTATACAGACTGGCATTGCACATTGACTGGGGGATAGTATACAAACTGGCAT